AAACGTATGGGGAGAGGCCCAGCTGGCAGCAGAGCAGATGTCCTGTAGCGACACTCCGGCCCAAGAGGCCCAAGAGGCGGCTAAGCCCCTTGTGGAATGAGCTCTGATGTTCCCTGGGGGCTGCACACCCATCGATTCATATGCCAAAGCAATAGCTTCCACAAGCCAATGTGAAAGGCGTTGCTTAGATATGGGACTCCCCCTGTGCGGGGGCGCCCATGAAATAAAGAGCTGGTCGCTCTTCCGGAAAGCACTGGTCCTAGTCATATACGTCTGTAATGCACGAACTGGACACAGAGCATTCAGCCTCTGATCCTCAGTGGAAGAAAAAGGTGGAGGGTGAAAAGCGGACAGCTCCAACACCTCCGATGTAAATGCAGGGAAGCACTTAGGCAAAAAAGCCGGGTTCGGCTTAAGAAAAACCTTATCTCCACTAAGAGAGAATTTGGTGCACGAGGAATGAACCGAGAGTGCATGAAGCTCACTGACACGTTTAGCTGAAGCCAAGGCCAAGAGCAAAGCTGTCTTGAAGGACAGCAGCTTCAGGGAAATACTTCCCAGGGGCTCAAAAGGGGATTGAGACAGAGCCTCCAGCACCATGGAGAGGTCCCATTCAGGAACAGTTCTCCTGATAACGGGCAAAGAACGACGGGCACCCTTCATAAATCTGCGGATTAGACTATGCTGCCCGACCATTGAGCCCTCAAAGCCCACATGAGATGCAGAAATAGCCGCCAGGTAGACCTTAATGGTGGAAAAAGACCTGTCTTTATCCATAAGGTCTTGTAAAAAACACAAAATATCAGGAACTGAGCACTGATATGATGTGAGACGACGCCCATCACACCACCCTTCAAACACCTGCCACTTACAGCCATATAAGGACCGAGTAGACACGGCCCTGGCATTCTGTATAGTAGCAACCACACACGGGGGAAGTCCTAGCACGTTTAAGTTTGTCCTCTCACGGGCCAGGCCCAGAGAGCCACCCTGTCCGGGTGTGGGTGATAAATCTCCCCGTTCGCTTGAGATAATAGATCTGTGCAGAGGGGGAGGCACCATGGCTGGGCATATAACAGAGGAATTATCTCTGCCAGCCACAGTGCTTTGGGCCACCTGGGTGCTATCAGGATGAGAGACAGGCCCTTCTCTCTCACCCTGGCCAGTGTTGGAGTTATCAGGCACAGGGGAGGAAAAGCGTCCTTTAGCGAGAAGAACATAGGACAATGGCTGTTTTCGCGCGAGGCGAATAGATCTACGGTTGCCGGTCCGAATCTCATCCATATCAAGCCCACTATCTGAGGGTGAAGGCGCCAATCTCCGTAGAGTGGGTTCCCCCTCGATAGAAGGTCCGCGCCTCTGTTCAGAATGCCTGGAACATGAGTCGCGCGTAACGACAGGAAAAACCACCTGCTCCACACTAAAAGCTTGTGAGCTAGAGCGTGAAGTTTCGGTGAGCACAAACCGCCCTGGCGATTGATATATGCTACCGCTGTGGTATTGTC